TGTGTTATTGTGATGAAACAAAATTTTTTTCTTAGCCAAAAGAGGTCGTTTAATTTGCACCTCGTGCTTCAAACGTTGCAACAACTCTGCATAGTATTGACCAGTGATAGTCTTACCCTTTTCAAGGTAATCATGCCTTCGTTGGAGTTGGTTCTCCTTTTCCAAGCCACTGTTTGGACTGTTCTTTACTTTCAGGAGTGTAGTGGTGGACCCAAGTCTCATCAACAGTTATGAATCGACGCAATAAGACGATGAGTAGTAATTAATCACATTTATTTTACCTGCAACAGATATATAAACCTGTCCCTTAGTACATAAGTTCAGTTTGTAAACTAATTTGAACAAAGCACCGTCTGTAAAAATTGTCAAATAGATTGCAATATAGCGGAAATTTTTACTATTGTTCAAATTTAAATTATTAATAGTTTTGAAACAGTGATCGAAACAATGTCTGTGAAAGAGATTGGCGTGAAAGGAAAGGCGATTGGGAGTCAAGGAAAGGAAATTATCAACAATGTCAATAACTTCATGGTACAGGAAAGTGTAGAGGGATTAAAGTTTCCACTTCAACAATACCGGTATGTATGAATGTAAAAGATTTTTATAATTATTGTCAATTAAAACTGATTAACCCATTTAGGAAACATGTGTTAGCTGCCACGGGTATAAGTAAATGCACTTATCAAAAAATAGCTAAAGAGAGCAGCGATGGAATATATTCAAGCAACTTTTTATTTTCATCCCCATCTAAAAAGCGGAAACGAAAATCACCTGTTGTGGATAAAATGACTGCAGGCCACATTGAAGAAATGAAAGTAATCATATACGATTTTTATATTTTGGAGAAAAGAAGACCTTCGCTGAAATGTAAGTTTTTAAATTGTAACCGTAGCATCTAGTCATATTTCATTTTAAGATTTTTTATGTATTTACCAAAAAATGCAAGATCGACAACTCAATTTTGAGGGTAAAATAACGACTTTGAACAAACTTTTGAAAACAATGGGCTTTAGGTCAGTATTCATACAGACTATAAGGTTTTCGATTTACAACGCTATAAATATAATTTATATCTACAAATGGAAAAGAACTACTGATAATAAAAAAGCTCTCATGGAAAAATATGAAATTCGCTTGAAGCGTATCGAATATCTGAAGCAAATTATGAAATATAGAGCTGAGAACAGGAACATAATTTATACGGATGAAACATATATACATTCTAGTCATACCCCAAAAAAAGGATGGTCAGATGACAATTATGACAAGGAACTAAAAACCCAAAAGGACAACGAATGATTATTGTGCATGCTGGTGGAGAATTCGGCTTTATTCCTAACGCCTTGTTGATATGTAAATCAGGTATTATTTGTGTTACAATGATGTAAAATATTTCCAATATATTTTTACATTTACTGGAATATATGTATGTATTTTATTTTCAGGCTCAAAATCTGGGGACTACCACAACGACATGAATCATTTGAACTTCATGAAATGGGTAGAAAGCCAATTGATCCCAAATTTGCCTGAAAATTCTGTGCTTGTAGTTGACAACGCTTCTTATCACAATGTCCTGGAAGAAAAAAATGTAACCTCTTCTAGCCTGAAATCAGAGATGATTGACTGGCTAGAAAAACATCAAATTCCTAGTGAAAACTCATTGACTAAGGCCGAACTATATAAAAAAATGCAGGAAAATAAAAGAAGATATCCAGTCAAATACAAGCTAGATGCCTTAATGGAACAGCACGGGCATAAAGTTTTACGACTGCCTCCATATCATCCGGAGCTAAACCCAATCGAGAAGATTTGGGCTCTCGTACAAAACTGGGTTGTTCCACGAAATGTGACATTTAGGTTGTCTGATCTGGAGCATCTGACCCGTAGCAGATTTGAAGAAATTGGAGCAGATGAGTGGAAGAAGATTTGTAACCACGTGAAAAAATATGAGCAAGCACAAATGGAAAAAGAACATCTTCTCGACGATCAAATGGATAAGTATCAATTCTCTGTGAATACAGGGTCATCATCAGAAGATAGTGACGAAAGCGACTCAGATGAAGATTTGGAGCTAAACACACGATCATCTGATATCGATTAGATTTTTGTAATGATAATATATAATTTGAATTATAACCGTCTTTAGTTTGCTCCCTCTTCTAATTCAAATTTGTTTCCGAACAACTTAATGCGCATACTAAATGAATATAATAATACAAAAATCAATTAATGATCAATGTCTACACAACCTATTCACTTTATTTTATACTTCAAATAAAATAGAACGTCACTGCGCTCTGTCGACGACCGCGTGATGAGCGGACCCGCCCACGATGACGTAGCGGTCATATTCTAAGAGCGTTGGAACTCTACTATAGGCAGACTATACTGGGGTCCATTACTTTGGACCCTCAGGTCGTCAAGGAGCTTGGACTCAAGGCGATTCTCAACTTCGCTAAAAGGGCGAGGCTTGTGATTTAAGTATTGTAGAGGTGCATAAGGGCCCGCTTAAGCGGCCTATGCACTGGCTCCTTACGGTGGCCGGAATGCCTCTAATTTCACGATTCATTCATTCCAGCCTGTAAGTGTGACTATAGTTACGAGAAGGTTACTCGAAGCTCGACTTAAAGGATGTATAGCAGTATCGAAACCACTCCTCATGGCTACCAACGAAAAAAAAAGAGTCTGAATTGGGCCAAACAATATCAAAATTGGACAGTTGCTGACTGGAAGAAGGTCCTCTGGAGTTTTTGGTAGAGAAGAGGAGAGAAGCGTATTAGTCCGCAGACGGCCTAACGAGACGGTGCATTAGAATCATGCACCGTCACTTACGTCAAGCGCTATTAATGATTTGGGGCGATTTTGGTGGTTCCTCTCTAGGGGATATTGTGAAAGTACAGGGAATACTTAATAAAGAAGGTTACAGATCCATACTACAACAATCATGTTGTGTCTTCTCGAGCTCGTCTTATTGGTCCGGGGTTTGTCTTTCAGCATGATAATGACCCCAAACCCACATCCAAGCTCTGTGAGCAATTTTTGTAAGCAAAAGAAGAACGAAATATTTTGAAAGTGATGCAATGGCCTTCCCAATCCCGCATTTAAAACCGATAGAGTTGCTGTGGGATGAACTGAACAGACAAGTACGGAAATGTTGTCCTACATCTCAAAAACCCGTATGGAGAATATTACCAGACAAAAAGCGAAAAATATCTATCCACTTTAGAAAAAAATAATTGTGCGTTTACCCATCATTTGTCAGGCTGTAACTAAAAGTAAATGAGGACATATTGATGAGTCAAAAATATGTTTATTTTGATTACAAATAGTTGTACGTCGTTAAGAATTAAGAAAATATACTAAGTGACATATAAATCCGAACACCAAGGTTTAAATGGTTTTATTTTAATAAAATTTTGTATAAGTACTTAATGAAGCATAATAAGTAAATGATAAAAATTTCAAAATGATTGCACTGCACTAAAGCCCTTTGACCTTTAATAATGTGTGGATGCACCCTGATGTGCTAAGCATTCTCCAACGCGCCTAGGCATGCTTCTGATCAGGTGGTCAATGTCCTCCTGTGGTATCTCATTCCAGGCAACCACCAATTCCTCTCGAAGTGCTTCTAGAGTCTGAGGAGGACGTTGCAAATTGAGCAATCTCCTACCCATCATATCCCACACGTGCTCAAGTGGGGATAAGTCATCATTATGTTGAAAGAAGTCTATTGTGACTCTTGCAACATGTGGTCGGGCATTATCTTGTTGGAAAGTTGGATCTGCCAGGGTGTCAAGATAGGGTAAAATATGGGGTTCTAGAACTTCGTGGATATAACGCTGCACATTCATGTTATCTCTGATGAAGATCAAGGGTGACCTGGAACCATAAGCTATAGCACCCCAAACCATAACTCCAACAGTGTGATGAACATGTCCTTCAACAAAAAACTGTGGATTCCTCCTTTCACCACGTCGCCTTCTAACCCTGGCACGACCATCGTGCATGCCTAAACAAAATCGAGATTCGTCACTAAAGACAATACTGTTCCATTCCTGATCCCAGAGTGACCGTTGTCTGCACCACTCAAGGCGATTACGTCGGTGTTCTCGAATTAAAGGGAGGACCCAGTGTGGCCGGTATGATAACAAGCCAAAACTTATCATTCGTCGGTAAACACTTCGCATGCCAATAGGTCTTCCGTGTTCTGCAAACCATTCATTTGCAATGGACCTGGTAGTGGAGAAACGGTCCCTTAAGGCCAATAATCTTAGGCGGCGATCTTCACGGCCTGTTGTTCTACGGCGGCGTCCAGTGCCCCTTGCTCTTTGCGTACGGCCTTCTCGAAGCCATGCCTGACAACACCTAACCACAGTGTCTACACTTCTTTGCACTCTAACCGCAATTGCCCGAAAAGAAAGTCCAGCTTCCCGAAGTCCCACTATACGGCCCCTATCAAACTCACTAAGTTGACGTAATCGTACAGGTCTCCGTAATCTAGGCATCGTATCCGATCGTAAAGGATGTCAAGAACCAAAATCCGCCAACGTTGATTCTTTACTGCGGCTGAAATATTCATTTTTAGAGCGTTAGTGAATTAAAAAAAAGTAGTATAAAAACCGGAATGTCAAACTGAAAATTTTTTAACTTGTTATTTACAGTAAGATAAATACATTCACCAAATTTTATTAAAATAAAACCATTTAAACTGGGTGTTCGGATTTATATGTCACTTAGTATATGTGTTTCTTTAAAAAATTCCATCAGTTTGCTTGTTTTCTGGGTGATTTTGGAAATGGAAGGATATAATTCTCTGTGTGTACTAATAATAGAAGGGAAAAGTTATCAACTGATTATGTAAAACGCGCAAATGATATAAATTTTTATAAAACCTAAAAATACACCACTACGCAATCTAGAATATTTCATTCACTCATTGTTGGCAGAGCGTCTATAAACAGACCCAAGCGGTGTAAATATGAATGAAATGCTCATACCTCGTTGATGTTTCCTTTGATCCTCTCCCGGTACGCTCTGGTCTTCCTCATACATTCGACTTTATTTAAAAACGAACTATGGTTGCTGTTGGCAGTTATTAGGCTAGAGTCCGATTTTTGATTTTTTGTATTGCCTTTCGACGCGGACCTTTTAAATTTATCCGACACTTGTGAAGTACAAGTGTAAATAAGTGAGTCACTGTTACTCTTTATCTTAATTGATAACAATTTATTTTCTATTTCTACCGATTCGTTGACATATTCAATCACTTTCAGAGGTATAATTTCTGAGCACGAATATTGGCTAGTTTCCGACATTTCCACTATTTTAATATTGTTCTATCAACTAACTACAATATGCGTTGGAATAAGATACTTTTATCGTCATAGATTTTATCAAAGTGCGCTCGTGCAAGAGACCTCGACCTTGCTGGAAAGTTTCCGTACATATGCACAACACAATAATAAATAAAATAATAAACTGGCCTAGCTTAATTTGAATTTCATTCAGTAGTGAAGTGCCAGCGCTAAATCTATGTATCCGCAACTAATAATTCAGTATGCAGTGCGTCCAAGATGGGCTTTGCTATCTCAAAAACGCGTTACAATGTTGGTTAAACGTTAAAACCAAATTAAATCGGCGTATGATCAATACAAGGTGTCCTCAAAGTTGGGGTTTTCCTTTACACGACGTGTAGATCTTGAAAACATAAGCAATTTTTCTTAGTACCATATACACCAATGTCTTAAGGGAACCGAGATAAAGGGCTCTGCAACATCAAAAATATCTGAATACCGTCCTGTAGCCGCGACATCCCCGACTGGTACTAGGACACTAGCTCAGCCCGACGACAGAACTGGGTCGGGGTCAGTGTGTCAGGTCAGTATGCAACCTTCAACCGACGGTTACGGTCACGCGTCTAGAGGTAATCGCGTAGACGAGAATCCCTCAACAAGCACTAGAGACATGGCTAGAGAAGTGCAAACGCTGCGTGAAGAGGGGCTGTATCCGTTTCAAGTCCAACGTGTACAAGCCCTTCAACCTGACGATTTTCCAGCAAGAGTGCGGTTCTGTGAGTGGTTGTTGCATCAACATGACAATAATCCGGACTTTTTGAAGTGCATATTGGTGACAGACGAATCTACGTTCACGCGTAATGGGGTGAATAACTTTCGCAACAGTCATGTTTGGTCAGTAGAAAATCCGCACGCCGTCCGTCGGGCACATTTTCAACAAACATTTTCGGTGAATGTTTGGGCTGGCATGGTGAACGGTATGCTCATTGGACCATTTATTCTCCCAAATCGATTGGACGGGATGCAATACCTAGACTTTTTACGCAACATTTTGCCTTCCTTGTTTGCCTGCGACTGCTCGGTAGCGCATCAGCTGATTTCATTTTCTGTTGGAGCGGTATGATTTCGGGCAGAGACGTACTTAGCCCTTCTCGTCAACTGGAGAGTGAGTACTTTTTCCTTTATTTTTTTTTTACTTGGTCGCCCTCGTTTCACTACACATTACCTTTGTTATTTCAAGGGTAGTTGTTTCTGAAAAGGAAAACCCCAACTTTGTATATTGAAAATATCCAGAATTCTTTAACAATTAACCCCAATGCCTTTTGGTCATACGTTCACTCCAAAAACAGCGCATCACGAATCCCAGGGATAATGAAATTTCAAAATAATTCTATAGATGAGCCTCAGGATATAGTAAACGCATTCAGTGAGTTTTTCAGCAGCGTCTATGTCACTCACAAGCCTCATAACAATGCCTCACTAAATCATAGTAATATATTTGTCCATTTTCATCCAATTGAGGAAAATGGAGTCAGGAAGGCCATTAAATCACTAAAGGATAAGATGACATCTGGTCTAGATGGCATCCCGTCCTTTATAGTCAAAGATTGTGTGGAAGTGTTTGTTGGTGTTCTAACTAGGATTTTTAATATTTGTCTTATAACAAAAAGATTTCCAGATATTTGGAAGATCGCTAAGGTCTGTCTAGTGTTTAAGTGTGGGGATAAGTCAAATATTGAGAATTACAGGGCAATCTCTATATTATGCATGTTCTCGAAAGTCTTTGAAATAGTCTTGTACAGTCGCATTCACACTGCCGTCCAGCGTCAGCTGTCATTGCATCAACACGGATTTCTCGCTAATCGCTCAACAACCACAAATCTATTTATAATAACGCAGTACCTCTCGGAATCCATTGATAGTAATGAGCAAGTTGACGTTATTTATACCGACTTTTCGAAAGCTTCCGATAAAATTAACCACAAAACTTTATTAAATAGGTTAGGTGCACTTGGTTTCACAGATGATGCTAGGGAGTTGATGAAATCTTACTTATCCGATCGTAGACAATTTGTTAGCTATAATGGCTTCCAATCTGAGACCTACTTGGCACCTTCTGGAGTTCCGCAGGGGTCCAACCTGGGACCATTACTGCTTTTGATATAAGACTTCTGTGACTCAGTTGAATATGAACGCTATGCTTTCCTTAAATGGTCAGGGATGTATTTGTTTTTATTGCTAAGTATATTTAGTTTTTTTTAGTTCAGCCCATTTTTCCTTTTCTGAGCAATTCTGAAACCTTATATTTAGATATGCCTTTTTTTCGGCTCTAAAAGCAGAGGTGGTCAGGTTTCTTAATTGTTCATAGTAGTCTCGATGATCAGGTTGGTCCGTTCGTCTAAAACGAGAAAGAGCTTGATTTCGAAGCCTTTTCAGACCGGATAAGTTTACTCCATTACTTATATCAGAAATTAGAGATAGAGGTCTATAGTTAAAAAAGTAGGTCATCCTTATAACTTATTTTTATTAGAATTTGAGCATCTTCAAAGATATTTTTTAGAAGATCAATTTGAGAAACTCGGCCCTATTCATCCCTCTTCAACTTCAACTAAGTGCTAGCTGTAAGCCTTAATAACTTCATAGTTTTTGTGTACCTAAAATCTGAATGTAAAAGATTCTTGAATAGAAAATACTTTGTTGGAAAGGATTGAGACAATCTATATATACTAAGTGACATATAAATCCGAACACCCAGTTTAAATGGTTTTATTTTAATAAAAGTTGGTGAATGTATTTATCTTAACAAGTGAAAAAATTTTCAGCCTTATCAGTTGGACATTCCGGTTTTTATACTGCTTTTTTTTTAATTCACTAACGCTCTAAAAATGAATATTTCAGCCGCAGTAAAGAATCAACGTTGGCGGATTTTGGTTCTTGACATCCTTTACGATCGGTTACGATGCCTAGAGTACGGAGACCTGTACGATTTCGTCAACTTAGTGAGTTTGATAGAGGCCGTATAGTGGGACTTCGGGAAGCTGGACTTTCTTTTCGGGCAATTGCAGTTAGAGTGCGAAGAAGTGTAGACACTGTGGTTAGGTGTTGTCAGGCATAGCTTCGAGAAGGCCGTACGCAAAGAGCAAGGGGCACTGGACGCCGCCGTAGAACAACAGACCGTGAAGATCGCCGCCTAAGATTATTGGTCTTAAGGAACCGTTTCGCCACTACCAGGTCCATTGCAAATGAATGGTTTGCAGAACACGGAAGACTTATCGGCATGCGAAGTGTTTACCGACGAATGAGAAGTTTTGGCTTGTTTTCATACCGGCCACACTGAGTCCTCCCTTTAACTCGAGAACACCGACGTAATCGCCTTGAGTGGTACAGACAACGGTCACTCTGGGATCAGGAATGGAACAGTATTGTCTTTAGTGACGAGTCTCGATTTTGTTTAGGCATGCACGATGGTCGTGCCAGGGTTAGAAGGCGACGTGGTGAAAGGAGGAATCCACAGTTTTTTGTTGAAAGACATGTTCATCACACTGTTGGAGTTATGGTTTGGGGTGCTATAGCTTATGGTTCCAGGTCACCTTTAATCTTCATCAGAGGTAACATGAACGCGCAGCGTTATATCCACGAAGTTCTAGAACCCCATCTTTTACCCTATCTTGACACCCTGCTAGATCCAACTTTCCAACAAGATAATGCCCGACCACATGTTGCAAGAGTCACAATAGACTTCTTTCAACATAATAATGTCACATTGTTACCATGGCCACCAAGATCTCCCGACTTATACCCAATTGAGCACGTGTGGGATATGATGGGTAGGAGATTGCTCAATTTGCAACGTCCTCCTCAGACTCTAGAAGCACTTCGAGAGGAGTTGGTGGTTGCCTGGAATGAGATACCACAGGAGGACATTGACCACCTGATCAGAAGCATGCCTAGGCGCGTTGGAGAATGCGTAGCACATCAGGGTGCATCCACACATGATTAAAGGTCAAAGGGCTTTAAAGCAGCGCAATCATTTTGAAATTTTCATCATTTACTTATTATGCTTCATTAAGTACTTATACAAAATTTTATTAAAATAAAACCATTTAAGCTGGGTGTTCGGATTTATATGTCACTTAGTATAATTTCATTTGTGCAACATTTAGAAAATTTTCCATATATGAAGCTGCCGAGTTAAATCAAGTTATTAGGATGCACGTGTATTTGATGTGCATGAGGTATAAAATATCAAAGCGATTATTAATTACAGTTTCAGTTTCCTGGAGGACACACGACAGAAATTTTCGCCAAAAGATCAAAGGCTTTCGTTGATGACGTTAATTTTCAAAACTTCCATAAGCACAAATGTAAAGGATATGTTTTTGATTTTAGTACGCATGAGCGCTTCTTCGAAGTTGGAGGAGACCGGAAATAGTTGTATTGCAAGTGTTTTCATGCAATTTCCTTTGTGTCCTTCAAGTACAAACTAATTTTCGTCTGTTGTTCTACAGTTCTAAGACCTGGCAAGAACTAATATTAGTAGCTGATACAGTAGTTTGTTGAGTGTAACAAAAAACCCTTTGGCAGTAGATGTTGCAAGCCAGCACACAATACAAATAGCAAGAAGTCTATGAATACAGGGTGTTAGTAAGGAAATATAATACGGAGTGGTGAAGTATTGGGTTTGAAGTGCATTTGAAGAGCGGTATGGTACCTCACTGCTTTTTCTCTTTCTCATTCACCTCTCAACAAATCTGATCTACAGGGTGTAAACATTATGATAGTCATTATTTAAATGGGTGATAGAGGAGGTTAAAAAAAGCAAAAAGTTTCATATAACATTGGGGTCAAAACGGCATTTTTAGATAAAAGCGACTTTAAAGTAAAATGAAATCTGACAACGCCGCAATGCCAGACGCAAATTATGACGGGACGCAGTGTATATGAAGAAGGAGTTTGTTATTTTTGGCTCTTAGGTATTATTTCATTATTTGATAATGTACTCGTAAAATGCAAACAATTAAAAAAACGGACTTACCACTAAGGCCCAGTTTTTCATTCGCAGGTTAACTACGACCTGGGTCTCAACTTATAGTTATTTATGAAAAAGCGTTTTTCAATACCATGTTTATAGTAAAACGGAAGTTAACTTTAACCAGAAGACCATCTATGAGTTAACTAGAAAGGATGTAGTTAAATAGCAACACCTGACGTTTTTTGACATGAAATTTGACGTTTATTCAAAAAATCACAACAAATCCATATCAATCTATAGATTTATTTAAGCTATAAACATGTTTATGGATTACGACGTGAACGTGTATATAGCAGTGACGAAGACGCGAGAAGGCCAAAAATAATCCGCCATCGGTCGAATTACTTTGATGACCTCGATTTCCTTGCAAGATTTCGTCTTACACAAAGGACTGTAGAAACTCTCCTGTACGAAGTCTATGAAGATTTAGTATATCCTACAAGCAGGTAGATGTATATATTATTGTTTATTTCCATATTTTTACATGACTCCGTCATTCCAGGAATAACTGCTTAACGCCCCAACAGCAGCTGTTGTTAGCACTGCGCAATGGAAGTTTTCCAAATCAACTGCATCCAAAACAGTCCGAAGATTCTTAAAAGTACTAACTAGTAAAAGAAGTAATTACATAAAAATGCCGGACACTCTTGAGGCTCTTGCTATGGCAACGCAATCCTTTTATAAATAACATAGCTAGGTTTCCTCGATGCATAGGTGCAATTGACTGCACGCATATAAAAATTGTTTCTCCCGGAGGAAGCCATGCAGAGCTCTTCAGAAATCGAAATCAGTTTTTTTTCACTGAACTGTTTCTGACGCAGATTCATACATTTTCGGAAATTCTCAGCTCTGCAGACAATTTGAATCAGGTCACTTTGGAAATTCTTTGTTGGCTGGTGACAAAGGTTATCCTATTAAACGCCATTTGATGACACCATTAAACACAAGTACAACTCCTGCTGAAGAAATATACAATGAATCTATCATTCCTAGTCGCAACGTTATAGAGAGAAGCTATGGAGTTTGGAAAAAAAGATATCCATGTCTAGCTATGGGTCTCAGAGTTCATCTAGATACAGCTCAAGCAGTTACCCTAGGAACAGCAGTGCTACATAATATCGCTTGTCCTAATAATGAAGCTATGCCCCCTATTAGTCCTGAACAGGAAAATGCTATTAACATGAATTTGAATTTGAATTTGACTCGATACTAGATGAAAGTTGTTTAGTATAAGATCTGTAAGAATCCATGGCAAGTGGATAAGAGTCGTGGCTAAAATTGTTGTAGCCCAAAAAAGGCGCACACCCCTTTATTTTTGGATTGTAGATTATAGGAGTGATGTTAAAAAAGGTGGAAAATACGATATTAAGCAGATATTTACAACTTGATCGTTTTTTAACCTTAGTATGGTTCATTAGACATTGCATTTGCAACCTTTTTTATCACCATTTATATAATGCCGTCTATAGGGTCTACTACTAAACATTTGTACGAGCAATGTTTGAAAAAACTTACGTTGCTTGACGAAGGTTTTATGTTTTATTTGTTTTTAATGAAATTTCCGGATTTCGATTTTGGCTATTTTAAGAAATTTTAATTCAATCGAACTGTCATGTATCCTAAGTGACATATAAATCCGAACATCCAGTTTAAATGGTTTTATTTTAATAAAATTTTGTATAAGTACTTAATGAAGCATAAAAATTTCAAAATGATTGCACTGCCTTAAAGCCCTTTGACCTTTAATAATGTGTGGATGCACCCTGATGTGCTACGCATTCTCCAACGCGCCTAGGCATGGTTCTGATCAGGTGGTCAATGTCCTCGAAGTGCTTCTAGAGTCTGAGGAGGACGTTGCAAATTGAGCAATCTCCTACCCATCATATCCTACACGTGCTCAATTGGGGATAAGTCGGGAGATCTTGGTGACCATGGTAACAATGTGACATCATTATGTTGAAAGAAGTCTATTGTGACTCTTGCAACATGTGGTCGAGCATTATCTTGTTGGAAAGTTGGATCTGCCAGGGTGTCAAGATAGGGTAAAAGATGGGGTTCTAGAACTTCGTGGATATAACGCTGCGCGTTCATGTTACCTCTGATGAAGATTAAAGGTGACCTGGAACCATAAGCTATAGCACCCCAAACCATAACTCCAACAGTGTGATGAACACGTCTTTCAACAAAAAACTGTGGATTCCTCCTTTCACCACGTCGCCTTCTAACCCTGGCACGACCATCGTGAATGCCTAAACAAAATCGAGACTCGTCACTAAAGACAATACTGTTCCATTCCTGATCCCAGAGTGACCGTTGTCTGCACCACTCAAGGTGATTACGTCGGTGTTCTCGAGTTAAAGGGAGGACCCAGTGTGGCCGGTATGAAAACAAGCCAAAACTTCTCATTCGTCGGTAAACACTTCGCATGCCAATAGGTCTTCCGTGTTCTGCAAACCATTCATTTGCAATGGACCTGGTAGTGGAGAAACGGTCCCTTAAGGCCAATAATCTTAGGCGGCGATCTTCACGGTCTGTTGTTCTACGGCGGCGTCCAGTGCCCCTTGCTCTTTGCGTACGGCCTTCTCGAAGCCATGCCTGACAACACCTAACCACAGTGTCTACACTTCTTTGCACTCTTAACTGCAATTGCCCGAAAAGAAAGTCCAGCTTCCCGAAGTCCCACTATACGGCCCCCATCAAACTCACTAAGTTGATGAAATCGTACAGGTCTCCGGACTCTAGGCATCGTAACCGATCGTAAAGGATGTCAAGAACCAAAATCCGCCAGCGTTGATTCTTTACTGCGGCTGAAATATTCATTTTTAGAGCGTTAGTGAATTAAAAAAAAGCAGTATAAAAACCGGAATGTCCAACTGACAAGGCTGAAAATTTACAGTAAGATAAATACATTCACCAACTTTTATTAAAATGAAACCATTTAAACTGGGTGTTCGGATTTATATGTCACTTAGTATATGATACGGGACACAGATGCCGAGCGCACAAAACGCATAGAACACTATATCTAAGAACCGCAGATACAGGGCTGTAACATAAATATATGCTGAACTTCTGGTAAGTTAACTGACGCTGTCAAAGTACCTGAAAAACGCATTTGCAAGTATCTACAAGTTAACTTCCTGGCGATAGTTAACTAACCAAAAAGTTAACTTGCGATTGGAAAACCGGGCCTTAGTATATCAGCGCTTCACCTGGTGTGTGAAAGTTTATTGAACGTATTAAAAAAAAAACACTTATAAATAGGGAACAGAGTTTTCAGCCGCATTGAATTTTTTTTCGGGAAGTTGTGCTTCACTTATTATGGGACCAGCCCCATAAACCATCCCTTCAAGTTCTCCCCAATACCAGAAATCCATCGGATTGAGGTCAGGAGATCTTGCTGGCCATTTTCGAGGATCATGAGAATTTCGACCGATCCAGCGATTGGGATAATGTTGATACAAATACTGAACGACGCCTCTAAAAATGTGTGGTGGTGCCCCGTCATGAATTAACCACAAATATCGGGCATCGAGCGTGTTGTTTACAGTGCTCTCGAATCAAGAGTTCGCTTACATGTTGTTAGTTTACGGTGAAGCTCGTCAGAATTCAAATCTTGCAGCTCTTCGAGATACAGGAAGTGTTCAGCGCACTAATATTCGCACTCGTGAACGACAGGTTACTATAGAGCAGGAGGAACCAATTTTATATATCGTGGAAATCAATGCAGATATCAGCACTCGGGAATTAGGCAGCCGCGTAGGCCTATCGCATACCATAGTCCATATAATTCTACGGGAAGATTTGCTTTATTCCTACCATGTACAACGATTGCAGGCCTTGTTACCAGAATAATATCCTCGCAGACTAACATTCTGTCACTGGTTTTTACACAAAAACATTGAAAATCCGGATTTTTTAAAAAAATTCTAGCGACGGACGAATGTACTTTTACAAGAGACGGGATAGTAAGTTTCCATAATACTCACACGTGGGCCCAAGAAAATCCTCATACCATTCGTGAAGGTAATTTCCAACAACGTTTTAAAATAAATATTTGGGCGGGTATTATTGACGATCAGGTAATTGGCCCTTTCGAGTTACCCCCACAGTTGTCAGGAGAAGGATACCTTAGTTTTCTAGCCCATAACCTACCAGAACTTTTGGAACAGACCTTAGACAACATGCCATTACAACGGAGACAGAATTTGTGGTTTCTTCATGACGGGGCACCACCACACATTTTTAGAGGCGTCATTTAGTATTTGATTGAACATAATCCAAATCGGTGGATCGGTCGAAATGCTCCTGATCCTGGAAAATGGCCAACAAGATCTCCTGACCTCAATCCGATGGGTTTCTTGTATTGGAGAGAACTTAAAAGGATGGTTTATGTGGCTGGTCCAATAATAACTGAAGCACAACTTCGCGAAAAAATTTTTAGTGCGGCTGAAATAATAAATGGACAACTTCGAGGACCTAGAGTAAGAAGAAACTGGGTTCCTCGTAATGAAGCTTCTGTGGAAAGTGGAGGACGACATTTTGAACACCTTCTTTATATACAAAAACAGTGCAGTGTGGGTTTTAAAAAGCAAAACAATGTATGTATCAAAATTGTGTTCCCTACTTATAAGTGGATTTTTATGATACGTTCTATAAACTTTCACACACCAGGTGAAGCGCTGAGACGTTTTTTTTAATTGTTTGAATTTTACGAGTACATTATCAAATAATGAAATAATATCTAAGAGCCAAAAATAACAAGCTCCATTTTTATTTACACTGCGTTCCGTTGTAATTTGCGTCTGGCATTGCGGCGTCGTCAGATTTCTCTAAAAAAATGCCGTTTTGACCCCCATGTTATATGAAACTTTTTGCTCCTTTCTATCACCCATTTAAATAATGACTATCATAACGTCTACACCCTGTATAAAGATATTTAAATATGCCTAACTATTACACTGAACTTCAGAATAAAATTCTATATTCTTATACAAGAATAGATCGCATAGAATAGTAAGGAAGGGGAATTAAACATATCCTAGTATATGACTACTCCTCAGAGTGTTCCAAGTCCTAACCAATTTATGAAGCACTTACCTCTTTGACGTTCTGCTTGACCCTCTCCTGATGCACTTTGGTATCTCGTAGGCTCTTGTAATCGTCCAAACATGCATCATTCTTGTTATTATACACACTTTTTCTCGGCTGTTTGTGCCTGCCTCTGAACGCATTGGCATCGGCGTTTTCAGTATCACAGTGCTCGGCAAAGTTAATGTACACATCGGTCTCTTTCTCCAATCCATCTTCTAGGCTTAAGGACGGTTTAAATTTTTTAAGATTCCCATCTAACAGATTCCCGTCGTACGAGCAGGCTGTTTTAGGGGAGATTTGAGATCTTTTGTACTTGTGAATCAAAGAATCACTGTTGCTGATCTTTTTCGAACGCCGTTTTTTCTTTGGTTTTCCAGGTATGTTGCTATTCTCGAAATCATCGATGATCTTTTTGATGATGTTGATGTTCTCCGGACTGATGTGGTTCGTGTTATGCCTGTCCATCTTGTCCGATTTTATCAGCATTTCCTTTTGGCACGATCGCGCGCCATCGCGTAGTCGCGTGGGAAATCAGGTATATTAGATTTCAACACGTTCGGAAGACCTTTTAGTACAGGAGGTGAGTAACAGTTGGGATATAAAAAACTAGTAGAAGACTGAAATTATTCTGCATGCATCTAAGGTTGGCTACGCACATGCGGATGATGAGTACAATAAGCACAGCACAGCATTTTCCCGAATATACCACACAGTACTTTTCTTTAATGTCCCCCTATTTATTTTTTGATCGAACCTTGGGATGATGAAACTGATGCAGCGAAAAATGACATATTCATATTTGCAGATTGCAGTTTTTTAAGGTAAAGGTTGTCCAATAGGGACGCAGGAAAGTAAACGTCAATTTGACATAGACGCCATCTTGGATTTCTGTCACCGACATGTCATTTTGTTAGTTGAATGTTTACCATTGATCGCTATGGAGTCGTATTCGATTGAAGACCGCATTAAAGTTATTCAAGAGCACTACAAAAATGGTGCAAAAATAAAAAACACGTTTCGCGCGCTTCGTGAACATTTCGGTCGCAACAACCGCCCAAACGAAACAACCTTCGGTCGTCTGGTGCGTAAATTCGAGGCAACAGGTTCTGTGGCAAATCTGCCAGGCTCTGGCCGGCCAAGGAGCGTTCGCACACCGGAAAATATTGCTGTTGTGAAGGAGAGTGTGAGAGACGATCCGAAACAATCAACAACGCGTCGATCCCAAGAATTGGGCATTTCGAGAACCAGTTTGCTCCGCATTCTCCACAAGGCTTTGAATGTACACGCCGTCAAGATCCAATTGACGCAAGAGCTGCGTCGGGCCGACCATTTTTCGCGCCGAACGTTCTCAGATTTTCTCCTTGAACACCGCCAAATTGATGCCAATTTTTCATCAAAAATCATGTTCAGCGACGAAGCGCATTTCACTTTGAATGGGACGGTAAACAAGCAAAACTGCCGCATCTGGGCGAACGGAAATCCCCGTTAGTATCAAGAGCAACCGATGCATCCTCAAAAAGTGACTGTGTGGTGTGCATTGTGGTCAAAAGGCATCATCGGACCTTACTTTTTCGAAAATGCGGCCGGGGACGCCGTTACCGTCAATTCTTAGCGATATCACGTGATGATAGAGGACTATTTTTTGCCGCAACTTGAAGGAATGGATATGGACGATGTTTATTTCCAACAAGACGGTGCAGCATGCCACACAACCAACGTCAATGTCCATCGATTGCAGTCCTTCTTCGGTGATCGCGTGATTTCGCACAGAGGAAATGTGCCATGGCCACCAAGATCGTGCGATTTGACTCCCTTGGACTTCTTTTTATGGGGATATTTGAAAAGTAAAGTCTACGTCAACAAACCAGCCACCCTCCAAGAACTCAAAAACAACATCATTGCCGAGATAAATGCCATAGAACCGACCATGTTGCAAAATGTCATTGAAAATTTCGACCGTCGCGTGGACGTCTGTAAATCCAGTCGTGGTGAACATTTGAGCGATATCATTTTTCATACATAAATGGTATAAATGAACCTTCAAAATGAAGTACCCAACTTGATTTGAATATCAATCTTTCTTGTTTTAATATGCGTTTACTTTCCTGCGTCCGACAACCCCATATCAAAACTATTCGTATATCCTTGGAGAGAAACCTTGTTTTATTTGGGTTGAAAAGTCAAAAATATCACGTTTTGTCATATTTCTGTAAAAGGGAAAAGTACCTTATTCAAAAATTTCAGAGAATACGATTATCTATAAAAGCTGTTCAACTACGTTTATTTCATGACTCACCTTGTTTGAGATTTAATGATCTATGGACATTTTACATACTCTTTCAATATGAACATACATGTGGAAGCTTTGGTATATGCGACTTTTACATACATACCACTTTTACAGTGCGTGCCAAAAAAAGTGTTAGCAGTTCTTCTAAAAATTCATTCCATGAGCAACCAAAGGTTTCTATACAATACAATTGAACGCAAAATGCTTAAAAACTATAAAAACGTAATAGTATTAATCCGTATCATTCAAACAGTTCCTGGTCTGCCTAAGTTGCGCATGAAAGAAACGGAAGTCATAATGTGGGAAAAAATCGGAGCAGAATTGCAATTAGTATATCAAAAGTCTCCATGAGAACAGAAAGAGTTCACACGCCTACTAGCTTTATCCTTCGTTAATAGGGCGATTTAAAGGGTCGCGATGGAAAGTTGCAAAAGCAATTACTACGAGACGAGTTTGGGGAGGATTTCAACTCTTATTAAGGACAAAGCAGCTTCACTAGCATCCCTTAATTGAGCATTTGGCTATCCTGAAACAAAACTTCAAAAGACCTAAAGTTAGCCCAAAGTAATTTGGTAACATGGGCATGAAAACATTTTAGGATTATTTATTAGAAAGTTATTACTGTAAAGCCTAGGAGCTAGGGGATGATGACATGTTTGTTTTCGTTTCAGCAGCTCTGTATCGTAGGCTATACATCAACTAGTCTATATCCCAACTACCTCAACAAATCCAGACTTGGTTCGAATGCAGTTAATGAATGAAGGAATGACTCAACGGCATGCCATCGTGCTTTGTTGGTTGATTGCATAATTGTCTGCATGTCTATCAAATCAGTGACATTTGCTATTTAAGAAAACTATTACTGAATATATACTAAGTGACATATAAATCCGAACACCCAGTTTAAATGGTTTTACTTTAATAAAACTTTGTATAAGTACTTAATGAAGCATAATAAGTAAATGATAAAAATTTCAAAATGATGGCACTGCTTTAAAGCCCTTTGACCTTTAATAATGTGTGGATGCACCCTGATGTGCTACGCATCCTCCAACGCGCCTAGGCATGCTTCTGATCAGGTGGTCGATGTCCTCCTGTGGTATCTCATTCCAGGCAACCACCAACTCCTCTCGAAGTGCTTCTAGAGTCTGAGGAGGACGTTGCAAATTGAGCAATCTCCTACCCATCATATCCCACACGTGCTCAATTGGGGATAAGTCGGGAGATCTTGGTGGCCATGGTAACAATGTGACATCATTATGTTGAAAGAAGTCTATTGTGACTCTTGCAACATGTGGTCGGTCATTATCTTGTTGGAAAGTTGGATCTGCCAGGGTGTCAAGATAGGGTAAAAGATGGGGTTCTAGAACTTCGTGGATATAACGCTGCGCGTTCATGTTCCCTCTGATGAAGATTAAAGGTGACCTGGAACCATAATAGCACCCCAAACCATAACTCCAACAGTGTGATGAACATGTCTTTCAACAAAAAACTGCGGATTCCTCCTTTCATGCCTAAACATAATCGAGACTCTTCACTAAAAACAATACTGTTCCATTCCTGATCCCAGAGTGACTGTTGTCTGCACCACTAAAGGCGAATACGTCGGTGTTCTCGAGTTAAAGGGAGGACCCAGTGTGGCCGGTATGAAAACAAGCCAAAACTTCTCATTCGTCGGTAAGCACTTCGCATGCCAATAGGTCTTCCGTGTTCTGCAAACCATTCATTTGCAATAGACCTGGTAGTGGAGAAACGGTCCCTTAAGGCCAATAATCCTTAGGCGGCGATCTTCACGGTCTGTTGCTCTACGGCGGCGTCCAGTGCCCCTTGCTCTTTGCGTACGGCCTTCTCGAAGCCATGCCTGACAACACCTAACCACAGTGTCTACACTTCTTTGCACTCTAACTGCAATTGCCCGAAAAGAAAGTCCAGCTTCCCAAAGTCCAGCTTCCCGAAGTCCCACTATACGGCCCCTATCAAACTCACTAAGTTGACGAAATCGAACAGGTCTCCGTACTCTAGGCATCGTAACCGATCGCAAAGGATGTCAAGAAACAAAATCTGCCAACGTTGATTCTTTACTGCGGCTGAAATATTCATTTTTAGAGCGTTAGTGAATTAAAAAAAGCAGTATAAAAACCGGAATGTCAAACTGATAAGGCTGAAAATTTTTTCACTTGTTATTTACAGTAAGATAGATACATTCACCAACTTTTATTAAAATAAAACCATTTAAACTGGGTGTTCGGATTTATATGTCACTTAGTATATTAGCTGTGCTTGGCGAGTTATTTGTGTAGTCCTTTCAGGTTATGTTCAAAGTTATAAATTAATTATAATTTTTTTCCGTTTTTGCATTTTCAAAAACGTTGAGAAGCAAAAATATGAATAGGAACACAAAACATTTTCACAGTGAACCACATCTAGGCGCTGATTTGTGTTTTCCATAAATTTCTATAAAATTTAAATGACTGGAAATAAAAAAATGTAAAATGTAATGTAACGTTTTATAAATATTCCTGTCTGTCGCCTATTTCCTAACCAGTTAGTTGTAATATACTTCACCAACCAGGGACTTTATTTTTTAACTCTTTCATTTTTGAAATTCAAAAATTGCAGACTAGGTAGTTTTTAGGGTGCAAACAGAAATTCCACGTTTGCTCACTAGGATCGTTGTCAGCGTCCATCTATGGAGGAATGACTCAACTAAATTACACGCATTGTTGGTTGCATATGTTTTGTGAAGCCGAGTGGTCTCTAAGAAGAAAGTTGGTTGAATAGCAGGATCGCTTCTGGATGATTATGTGTATTGGTTTGCATGTGTATAAATTTCATTCCATACACGAGCATTCTTGACTGCCATTTAATCAGGTCAATTTTTCCTGTTGCGAAAGTTTGTTTTTTCGTCAAGAGAGAAACGAACGGTAATCTTTCCGTTTTGTTCAATTTTTGATTTGTAAGCTAAAAATAGACAAATTTCTACCAAAGCGATCCCGTTAAGTGCAAATATTCAGAGAGGAAAGACTGAATATATTACTTTCTTTCCAAAAGCCAGTTCGTCAGAAAAGTTCTACAGTGTTACTTTTCATTCACATTATGTAGCCTCCTGCTATTCCATCATAGTCCAGGACTATTAGACTTTCCCTGCTGAAAAAATCCCACCTGGCTGAATTTTTCACCAGAGCTTCCTTTCAGCATTATGAATCATTCCTCAAAAGTCCACATGACTCCAAGTGGAGCTTTTTTTGTTATGGGGGATCAGAGGTCACAAAAAATACTTTTTTCAGTATATCTTACGATAAAATGAGTCATTACCTTTTTTGTTCAGTATGAAATTATCCACAAATAAGGTTCAATGCATTTTTTTCGTAGACAGCGTTTTTTCAAACAAATTTTACTTTAAATGTTGAACATTGAGAAAATTGTAAAATAACGTACTTTTTTCCACGTCACCAGTCTATACTCTCATCGAATTCCACATTATTCGACTCTTCATTGTTTGAGATCATATTCAGACATGACAGTAGCCGCAAATAGCAGAACAGTGAAGGCCAAGTTTCCTATATCCGCAATTAGTTCCATAACCTTTCGTACAATTACAAAAGGCTGTGTTTAATAAGACATCAAGAGCAGGTGGCAATAGAGTTTGTATTGGCCAAAAATATTCGTCGGTCATAGATCATCCCCAATCCAATGGATTCAAATTCTTTCCAAGCCATTTCTGGAATGATAACTCAAACGACATAAATGTGCTTGAGCCGCACTCGATGTTGTCGAACATTTGATTTGTGGATGTCGATTGTATATCTTCACGAATAATTGGTGCGGCGCACTCTAAAATTCTAAAACGTTCCTATTTCTCATCAGATTCACGATTGTCATACCAGGTTTGGTTCAAGATATCATGACGAACATCGGAGAAACAAATAATCGTTGAACTGCGACTCTTTGTTGTAATGCCGATTTTTTTACCGTACTTTTCAACAAGTTTTGTTTTTATAGTAACATCATCAGTTACAAACTCAGTACATACCTTTTTAAGTTCCGATAAAGTGAACTGACATTCATTATTTTCAATGTAATTATATATTTTCTCCATTGCCAAAGAGTCGAGTTGCTGGGTTCACCATCTCGCTCCCTTTTAACAGCAGTAATGCTACTTGCACAAGTATATACCTTGCGACACACCATGTGCATTCTGATCGATTCAACACTCGGCAAAAATGTAATTTTTCCAAGATTTCACTCGATACTGGCGTCACGTAAGGTTTTAATACCGCGCTCGACGCAAACAGTCGACAGAAATTTGTCGCAAATTATGCAATTTTCGGCCATTTTTCAATTTATATGAGAATAATATCACGTAAAAACTGTTTGAAAATATACTGTATACAACTGAGAATAGCAGAATACTGGTCTGATGACTGGTCAAATGACGTCAATGCCTCACAGTCAGGTATAGAGTGACATACATTCTAACACAGAAAAAGGGCCAGCTGTGATCTAGGTCAAAAGAGGGGACACTTATATCTCTACGGAAAAAATACATAGAACTTTTTTGTGGAGAATTTTATACTGAACAAAAAAGGTCATAACTCATTTTATCGTAGAGTTGATATTTGCGAAGATATATGGAAAAGTGTTTTTGTGACCATTGACCCCCCATAAAAAAGCTCCACTTGGATTCATGGGTACTTTTGACGAATGATCTATAATACTGAAAAGGTGGGATTTTTTCACCAGATTAGCCTCCTTTTCATCTAATAGTCCTGGACTACCATGCCATTCCTCAAAGTAATCCCTCCAGTCTTGCCTTCTGAAATATTTGACAGCTAGTGGGAACAGTTTTTACTTCAGCATTCTGTCGAATTCACAGGTCAACAATCATCACGGAAAGTGGCGGTGACGGAACAAAGAGCTTTCGTGACAGGTTAGCAGGACTGAATGGCAAGAAACAAAGCTCGTGTCTGGGGTGCTCAGTCAAAATCACGAGTCACACCCAGTTTACTTTTCGATAAAGCCGCAGTTATCGTAAAGATCTACACAACTGCCTGTGTACCCCACAAGTATGAAGAAGCTGTACGTGAGTGTGAATTTGTGCGTTAATTTCACCGTTTTTCATTGATTTTTTTAGAAATCAGGGAGCGCTAGCATTTCTATATTGTTAGAAAATCGATTTGTACCCACGGAACAATTATGATTGTCAGAGAATCGTAAATAAAACTTATCGTCTAGCAACTGAAATGTATTCCAAATTGCTCCCTTTAGGAAACAATTCCTGCAGAATGTTGGTCCAGGCAATGCGACATTTTACTGTCATTAAGCCACACACATACTACAAAGCACAAGCCCCAAGCCGTGAAATAGCCCATCGATGGACATTATTGAGCACAAAGCGGTTATAATAGCCTGCAAAGCTATTAATGCAGTCCGATTCTGGCAAACGGTTGATGAAAATAGTGGTGTGTCGAGCTTAACCTGACATATCAATAAAACCAAATGCATTGAAGGTTCTCTGGCACTGAG